ACTTCAGCCAATCACCAGGAGACTGGGAGTTCTAGTCCTGCCATAGGAATGAAAGAACTGGGTGACTTCAGCCAATCACCAGGAGACTGGGAGTTCTAGTCCTGCCTTAGGCAGGAAGGACAGATAGAGGCACTTACCTGCCCGGATGGCAGAGACAGGCAGGATCCGGTGGCCCACAAATTTGCCGCCCTCCTCAAAAACCGCGATGCGCAGCGAGGCGAGGGTTGGCAGCACAACCTGGGCAAAGAGAGAGGAGAAAGGATTGCTGGAGGGAAGCGCTGAATTCAAATTGTGCCACGGACGCTCTAAACACACACACACACACTCATGCACACATAGACAACCTTTGTGAATTGAGGAGAACAAAGCCAAAAGACGTCCACTTCAAAAAGTTTAATTTGAGTTAAAATTTAGCTTCTGGAAAAGGTCAGTTGAAAGTTGAAATTTTGGGGTGAGGGGAAAGAAAAAAAAAAAAAAAGCACTCGACACATGCTCAGAAATTCAGGGCTTCCAGGAAGATCCACGTTGCCCTGCCCTGCCCAAAATATAGGCTTCTCTAAGGAACATTCTCGGTTTTGCCACGCTCACCTTCTGGAAGACGAACGGTTCTTCGTCCCAAACGGGGTTGAAGGAGTTGCCCTGCGAGGCCCGAGTGCGAAATTTGCGCTTGGTGTCCACCGGCAGCCCGAACATGTCTACCTCGACGTAAATGCCGATCCTCTTATCGGAGAGGAATTGCCCGGATATGATCTACGATTGAGATAAGAAGATGCGTTTTCCTGGCTTAAAATGAAAACTCTGGTTGAATTCACAGGCCGGTTTCTGATGCAACCCTCTGTATATGCTCAGAAGAACTCTCTTCCGCTTAGCCCGCTAACTCAAGTAGGTTTGCCAGTTTTTCCTTTCTTCTTTATTATAATTTGATTAATGTTTTCAACAAGAAAAATTAAGATGAACAAACAATAATATTTAAGACAAAAGTAAAGGAAGAAAAAGTGGAAAAATGGAAGAAAAAAGTATTCTTTCATCCTTCCCTCAGTTCTTTTTCCTTCCTTCCCTCTTTCTCTTCTTTCACTCCTTCCTTCTTTTCCTTTTCTTCCATCCTTCCTTCCCTTTTTCTCTTTCTCACTATGTTCTCTTTCTTTTCCACCCTTTTTCTTCCTTTTCCCTCTCCTTTTCTCTTATCCTCCTTCCTTTCTTCTCTTTCTTTTCCTTGCTTCCTTCTCTCTTTCTCCCTCTTCCTTCTCTTTCCTTCTTCTTTCTTTCTCTTTTCCTTCCTTCCTTCCAGTTTCTCATCCATAACTCATTCCTTCCATAGCTTCCTTCCTTCCTCTCATCCACAATACTTCCTTCCTTCCTTCCCTTCCTTCCTGCCTGCCTTCCTTCTTTCCTCTCTCATCCACAATACCTTCCTTCCATTACTTACTTACTTCCTTTCTCTCATCCATAACACCTACCTACCTTCCTTCCTTCCTTCCTTCCTTCCTTCCTTCCTTCCTTCCTTCCTTCCTTCCTTCCTT